GGAAGGAAGGGAGGAAGGGAGGGAGGGAGGGAGGAAGGGAGGGGGGAAAGGAGGGGAAAGGAGGGGTGAGGAGAGGAGGGAAGTGAAGGGGAGAAGAGAAAAGGAAGAAGGGAAGGAAAGAAAGAAGCAAGAGGAAGGAAGGAAGGAAGGAAGGAAGGAAGGAAGGAAGGAAGGAAGATGGGTGGATGGATGGATGGATGGAAGGAAGGAAGGAAGGAAGGAAGGAAGGAAGGAAGGAAGGAAGGAAGGAAGGAAGGAAGGAAGGAAGGAAGGAAGGAAGGAAGGAAGGGGAATAGGGAGGGAGGGAGGGAATCCTTATTTTAATTTTTGGATAATTTCTGCAGGATGCCGAGCTCATACAACTTCATGGAACTCATGCTTTCCGGGAATTTCTGGTAGAAAAAGGTTATCGGATACCAGAGGTAAACTTTAAATGCCTCCCACTCACCTAGCAGTAAACCCAATTCTGTTGCTCTCCAGATGTTCCAGCATATCTTTACAAACAGTTGTAGCCAGCACGGTCAGCGACCCAGATACCCGGAGAGCTTCAAGTTGCCATTCTCTGTAGCCTATATTCCTCCTTTTTGTTCAAACATGATTGCCTCCCTTTATAGCTACTGACCTGTACTGCTTCTCTTCCCTGCCTGGTTTTAGACCAGGGCATCTTTCTGCTTCCCTATCCCTTGGCCCAAAGCAAGGGTGTCAAACTCAATTTCATTGAGGGCCGCATCAGCATTGCGGTTGCACTGGGGGGGGGTGTGTGGCCAGGGTGGGTGCGGCCTACTGGGTGGGCGTGGAGGGAGTGGGTGTGGCCTACTGGGTGGGTGTGGCCAGCTCTACATCGTTCGCGTCAGGGGTGCCTGTGGGGGCCTGGGCAGGAGTGGGACAGATCTGAGGGTCTTTGGCAGAAGGGGGTGGGACCAGGGCAAGTGCCAAGGCATGGTCCACTGGAGGAGCCTCACTGTTCCTCTCAGGCCATGTGGGGAGGGGGGGCTTATGGAGCTAAGACTGAATGTGTTTCAGCATAGATGGCCACCACAAAATTGTACATTGGCTCTTGGCCGGCCTGGGCCAGGGCCAAGGCAGTGGGGGCCGTTCCCTCACTGTTTCCAGGATGGCTTCGCGGGCCACATGAAACCACTTCGCGGGCCGCATCCAGCCCCCAGGCCTTGTGTTTGACATGTCTGGCCCAAAGCCTTCAGCATCCCTACCCAGATGGCTCGGTGTCGAAAGCTATAGTCCAGGGCAGGGGTAGGCAACCTTGGCTCTTTTATGACTCGTGGACTGCAACTCCCAGAATTCCCCAGCCAGCCATGGCTCAGCTTGGAAACTCTCCCTTTCCCCTCAGCGTGGCTGGCTCAGGAATTCTGGGAGTTGAAGTCCACGAGTCATAAAAGAGCCAAGGTTGCCTACCCCTGCTATAATCCATTGAACCAAGAAAGAAGCAGAATGGGGGAAAATGGATAGGGAAGCATGTAGGCACAGATAGTCCTCGACTTACAACAGTTCATTTAGCGATCATTCAAAGTTACAATGGCACTGAAAAAAGTGGCTTATGACCATTTTTCACACTTAGAAACGATTGCAGCTTCTCTAGGGTCACCTGATCAAAATTCAGACACTGGCCAACTGGTTCATATTTATGACGGTTGCAGCGTCCTAGGGAGTCATGTGATCCCTTTTTGCCACTTTCTGACAAGCAAAGTCAAGCCAGATTCACTTAACAACCGTGTTACTAACTTAACAACCGCAGTGACTCACTTAACGACGGTGGCAAGAAAGGTCAGAAAATGGGGCAAAACTCACTTAACAGCTGTCTTGCTTAGCAACGGAAACGTTGGGCTCCGTTGTGGTCGTAAGTCGAGGGCTTGCCTGTGTTGCAGCTTCTGAACAAGGCTCCGGAGTTCTTCCCTGCTATAATTGTAAATTATTATTTACAATTATTAATTGTAAATTAAGATTGTCAAATAATAGCTTTTATTTTTGATAAGTCGCTTTCTCCAAATGCTGAGAAAGGTTCACTTTTAAAGAAAAGATCTATTTTTATTTTTATATTTTTTTGCACTTAAAACTGTGTTCTTTCTTCAAGGGGATGAAACTGTGTCCACGTCTCTAAAGTTATTTTGCCTTTGTGTCCTAGCAAGTTGTGTAGGGTTTTTGATAGGGCCAGCAGGTCTGCTGGAGATGACGTAATTGCAACGGAAGAGATTCTGCTTGAAAAAAACATCACCTTATCAAGCAGGGGATAACCCGAATTTTAGTTTATATTCCAGGAATCTATTGGGGATCCTGCAGCTGCTTGGTAGACATGTTGGAAGGAAGGAAGGTAGGTAGGTAGGTAGGTAGGTAGGAAGGAAGGAAGGAAGGAAGGAAGGAAGGAAGGAAGGGGGAAAGGAGGGGAAAGGAGAGGTGAGGAGAGGAGGGAAGTGAAGGGGAGAAGAGAAAAGGAAGAAGGGAAGGAAAGAAATAAGATCAGATTTTTAAAGTCTTTGGGTCAACAAAAGTTGGATCGCCGAAAGCTGCTCCTTGAAACAAGCCGGTGAAATTGTGTGTTTGGGTTCAGTTTTTGCAGCGGGTGCTAGAGGAACCGAAAGGGCTTGAACCCAAAGTGGGGGTTTTGAAGAACACCAAGGAAGAACCCCAGAGATGCAAAGACCTCCAAGAAGATTATTCATGAATGGTGGGAATCTAACACAAAGAATCCAGTGACCAAGAGAATGGAAGCCGACAATAGCTCTATCCGTGATGTTATTTGAATAGGAATTCTTTCTGAGGACATGTACCTGAACGAAATTTTCCGAGCAATACTTGGGGAGGATTCCCTCCAAATCCTTTGCCTCTTTTTTTTTTTTTTTTTTTTTTGCAATTGGTCGAAAATCAGAATAAACAACGTAGTTGTAACCAACAGACCTGCTGGGTACGCCTAGAAAAACCCCAGAGTCACCCAAGAACGGTTGGAAGGTTTTCTTCCACCAGTTTTTTATTGCTGTCTCTAACCATAACATACACACAACTGCTTAGTTGTGTTCCTATTGATTTCTAAAGAAAAGAAATAGGGGAGACATGATAGCAGTCTTCCAGTATCTAAGGGGCTGCCACAAAGAAGAGGGGGTCAGGTTGTTCACCAGAGCACCAGAGGGAAGGACGAGAAACAATGGTTGGAAGCTGATCAAAGAGAGAAGCAACCTGGAATTAAGGAGAAACTTCTTGACAATGAGGACAATCAACCAGTGGAACAGCTTGCCTTCAGAAATCGTGGGAGCTCCATGATTGGAAGTTTTTAAAAAGAGATGGGACAATCACCTGTCTGAGATGGCATAGGTCAGGGGTAGGCAACCTTGGCTCTTTTATGACTCGTGAACTTCAACTCCCAGAATTCCTGAGCCAGCATGGCTCAGCTTGGAAACCTCTCCCTTTCCCCTCAGCATGGCTGGCTCAGGAATTCTGGGAGTTGAAGTCCATGAGTCATAAAAGAGCCAAGGTTGCCTACCCCTGGTATAGGTCCTCCTGCTTGAAAAGGGGGCTGGACTAGAAGACCTCCAAGGTCCCTTCTATTCTATTCTATTCTATTCTATTCTATTCTACTCTATTCTATTCTATTCTATTCTATTCTAGTTGGCAGGACATTCTGGGATCCTAAATCTTGCTGTTCCCCTTGCCGTATGTCCTTATTGTGCGCCAGAAATGGGTTTGTGCTGCGTTGCTGTCCACGCTGCTTCGACATACAATGTTCCTAACGTTGTGATGGTTGGTTCCTTCTAATAAAATTCTGCCCCTAACATCACCTGGGTATGTGATGCATCCTCCTGACAACCAAAAGAAATGTATAGGGTGGGAGAACAAATGAACAAACAGATAGAAAAGAGTGGCTTCCGCCAGGAGACCAGGAGAACCAGTTGGAGCTATAGGTTTACCACTATGGAAAGTATTATTTCAGGCAGATTCCTCCCTTCACGCCCATCTTACATAGTCTGCATTGGCATCTTTAGTCAGAGTTAAAAAGGGGAAACATTTGGGGGCCACAGGTCACAAACGGCACCCAGCTTATCAGGATCGACTCCAAAATAGTTTGATATAGCACTGGCCTTTGAAGTGGAATATTTATTTATTTAATTTCCTGCTTTTATTATTTTATACACACACACACACACACACAGGTATACAAACTCAAGGCAACAAACATATCAAATGATTATTTTTCTTCCTATTTTGCCCAAAACAACAACCTGTGAGGTGACTTGTGCGGAGAGAGAGATTGATTGGCCCAAAATCAGCCAGCTGCATTTCATGGCTGGGGTGGGACTAGAACTTACAGTCTCCTGGTGATTGGCCCAAAGACCTCTAGCTGCCTTTCATGGCTGAGGTGAGACTAGAACTCACAGTCTCCCGGCGATTGCCTAAAGACACCCAGCTGTCTTTCATGGCTGAGGTGGGACTAGAATTCACAGTCTCCTGGCTATTGCCTAAAGACACCCAGCTGCCTTTCATGGCTGAGGTGGGACTAGAATTCACAGTCTCCTGGCTATTGCCTAAAGACACCCAGCTACCTTTAATGGCTGAGGTGGGACTAGAACTCACAATCTCTTGGCGATTGGACCAAAGACACCCAGCTGTCTTTCATGGCTGAGGTGAGACTAGAACTCACAGTCTCCTAGAGATTGGCCCAAAGACACCTAGCTGCCTTTAATGGCTGAGGTGAGACTAGAACTCACAGTCTCCTGGCTATTCCCTAAAGACACCCAGCTGCCTTTCATGGCTGAGGTGGGACTAGAACTCACAGTCCCCTGCCTATTGCCTAAAGACACCCAGCGACCTTTAATGGCTGAGTTAGGACTAGAACTCACAGTCTCCTGGTGATGGGCTCAAAATCATCCAGCTTGTTTTCATATCTAAGACAGAACTAGAACTTCCCTTTTCCTGGTGATTGGCCCTAAGTTACCCAGCTGGCTTTCACACCTAAGGTGAGACTAGAACTCACTGTCTCCCATTTTCTAGCCTGCTGCCTTAGCCACTAGATCAGGGGTAGGCAACCTTGGCTCTTTTATGACTCGTGGACTTCAACTCCCAGAATTCCTGAGCCAGCTTGGCTGAGCTTGGAAACTCTCCCTTTCCCCTCAGCATGGCTGGCTCAGGAATTCTGGGAGTTGAAGTCCACAAGTCATAAAAGAGCCAAGGTTGCCTACCCCTGCACTAGGCCAAGCAGATTCTTTCTGCCACTTTGATAGCAGTTAGACATCTAATCCCCTTTAACTCATAAAGCTGAATTCCAATGAAACGACGGTCGCTCTAATGAAATATTATTTTATTGATGACATGCGTGAATGAAAAGGGTAGTATAGAATGCAGATAAGAAGAAGAAAGCAATAGTTGTTTAGACTGGAAGAAGCATATGGGAGAAATCGAGGGAAAGCGTTCTGCTGAGGCAGATGAAGAGATGGACAATTTTTAAACATTTTAATTTTTTTAAACCTTCTTTTCAGCATTAAGAGCAACGTGAGGATGTCTACACCAAAGATTTGGAAAGGCTACTCTCTTCACCCAAGGGAATCAAGCTTCCAAGAGAGAGAGATCTAAGATGTCTCTGGAAACTCTCAGCATCCGGGACAAACTACAATTCCCAGGATCCTTTGGGAGAATAGATCGTTCATTTGAGCTCTTCCTTTCTCTTCTTAATTGTTACGGCTTTTTAATCCATGGATCAATGCAGATACCCCAAATGGCAGGGAGAAAGATAGGAAAGGGGGTCCTTGCATATCTGAAACTTGGGATATCCCCCCCCCCCCGCCCAATGAGCTGTGAAAGCTGTCACTGGTATAAGGTCAACGTACATATCTGTGGTGTAGACATGCTCACAACGCTCAACAAAACACCCCAGTTGCGGTTTATTCTGGATAGCAGGATTCAGGGGTTAGGGCTGTCTGAATAATGTTAGTTTCCCCGTTGTTGGAGAACAAGGCAGAAGCCGTGTAGCACTTATTCCGGTCGTAGGTGTAACAGGATTCCTCAGGATGACTACATAACGTGCTTGAGCCAAACGTCACTCCCTTTTCAGTTTTGGGGGCATCATTACACTTGTTACAACTGGAACAGAAGACAGGAGGAAAAACATTAAGCCACGTCACTGAAAAAAATATTCCAGAAATATCAATCTAGCTTCCTATTATTGCTGAAACGGCTATATCAGGGGTAGGCAACCTTGGCTCTTTTATGACTCGCGGACTTCAACTCCCAGAATTCCTGAGCCAGCCATGCTGAGGGGAAAGGGAGAGTTTCCAAGCTGAGCCATGCTGGCTCAGGAATTCTGGGAGTTGAAGTCCACGAGTCATAAAGCGGCCTAGGCCCAGGCTAGAGGTAGGCAACCTTGGCTCTTTTATGACTCATGGACTTCAACTCCCAGAATTCCTGAGCCAGCCACACTGAGGGGAAAGGGAGTTCCAAGCTGAACCATGCTGGCTCAGGAATTCTGGGAGTTGAAGTCCACAAGTCATAAAAGAGCCAAGGTTGTCTATCCATGGGCTATACGGCTAGAATTCCACTTGCTTAGCAGCTGCAGCTCCCGCCGTGGCCTCTACTCAGAGGAAAGCTTAAATGGGAGTGGACCGGTAGTCCTTGACGTACGACAGTTGAGCCCAAAATTTCTGTTGCTAAAGCAAAACAGGTGAGTTTGGCCCCATTTTATGACCTTTTCTTGCCACCGTTGTTAAGTGAATCCCTGCAGTTGTTAAGTGAGTCAGACAGTTCAGTGAATCTGGGCCGGCGAGGAGAGGCCTGGCTGCAAGGGAAGTCGGTGCGGGGCGGGTGCGGCAGCTCCACACCCCCACCCCGCTTGATTTTTAGGTGTGTGCCTCACCCCAAAACTAGGGCTTTTGGGGGGGGGGTAGGGCTTATGTTAGGCCCACCCCCCAAAATCAAACTAGGGCTTATTTTTGGGGTAGGCCTTACTTTCGGGGAAACACAGTATCGTCTCTACTGAAGCCTGATCTTGCAATTGGTTACCATAATAGCAGACTCTTCAACATGGCAAAGATAAGGTGCTTTATTGGAGGCAAGAAAGAAATCATGTACACACAACCATCCATTTATCAAACGTTTAAAGTTACAGCAGCACTGGAAAAAAAACCCACTTATAACTGGTCCTTGCACTTATGACCGTTGCAGCATCCCTACAGCCCTGTGATCAAAATTTGGGCAGTTTGTCAACGGGAATATATTTTCGACTGTTGCAGGATGCCGGGGGCTGTGTGATTGCTATCTGCAACTTTCCCACATGGCTTCAGACCATCCAAGGCAGAAAAGTCAGATTTGCTTAACAACTGCGGCCAAAAAAAAAGGGGGGGCTGTATGACTCACTTAACAACCACCTTGTTTAGCAATGGGAATTTTCTGATCCCAGTTGTGGTTGTTAAGTCGAGGACTGCCCAAATATGACTGCTGCAAAATACAGGAATAAAAATATATAAATGTACATACCCGCACCCATACCCATACAAGCCTGGGGTGGGGGAAATCGTTCTTTTCAGACCAATCAGAAGCTAATATACTCATACAGCACATTGGATAGATAGATAGATAGATAGATAGATAGATAGATAGATAGATAGATAGATAGATAGATAGACAGACAGACAGACAGACAGACAGACAGACAGACAGACAGATATAATGGATAGATAGATGGATAGACTGATATAATGGATAGATGATAGATAGATAGATAGATAGATAGAAAAAGAAAGAAAGAAAGAAAGAAAGAAAGAAAGAAAGAAAGAAAGAAAGAAAGAAAGAAAGAAAGAAAGAAAGAAAGAAAGTAAGTAAGTAAGTAAGTTTGGGTGCCATTTGAACGACAAATAAGAGAACTTTTCAGACCAATCAGAAGCTAATATACTTACAGCTTGGAGAGCTTGTAGACAAATTTGGTTCTCACTGGTGATGTGGGATCAGAAATGTTCTCCCTGGCGTTGAGGGGAATTCTGCAAAAAGGAAAAATTAAAAAAAATTGACTGCATATTAGTCTCATGAAATACAACAGGAATCTATATTTGCCCTACTACAAAGGCCTTCCAGTTGTCTGGAAGACTGCACCTCCCATAACCCCTGCCCTCTGTCCTATTGGCTAAGGATTATGGGTATTGTGTGTCTAGAAGGGGCCAGGTTCTCTCTTCTCCCGTTAGCCTTCCATAGCAGCAATGCAAAAATATAGTTGTATGTCGTACGGCGGTACGTTTAATACCAATATGGTATTTTCTCAGATGAAAATATTTGGATGGTAAATATATGCAAAATGTTGGAGTCAAAATGTTCTGACGCTAGAAGAGCCCTGGGTCAGAATGACTGTGAGGAGAGAATGGGGGCATTAAGGGTTGGAACAGTTTGATCTTCAAACAGTTGGCAAATCTCCATTGGATTGGAGAATTATAATTATCTGAATGGAAAAGTGGACCAATCTGAGACTGAAATAGATTATCATCAACATTCTGCTTCATTGATTAACTTCTTCCTCTAACTCAGAGAATGTTATGTGATAGCAGTCTTCCAATATTTGAGGGGCTGTCCCAGAGAAGAGGGGTGTGTGGACCTGTTCTCCAAAGCACCTGAGGGCGGGACAGGAAGTAATAGATGAAAGATCATCAAAGAGAGAAGCAACCTAGAATTAAGAAGAAATTGCTGGACATTTAGAACAATTAACCAGTGGAACAATTAGCCTCCAAAAGTTGTGGGTGCTCCAACACAGGAGGTTTTTAAGAAGAGATTGGACATCCATTTGTCTGAAATAATATAGGGTCTCCTGCTTGAGCAGGGGTTAGACTAGACTGCCAAGATGCCTTCCATATTATTCTATGTTCTATATCAGGGGTCTTCAAACTTGCCCCTTTTATGATTTGTGGACTTCAACACCCAGAATTCCTCAGCCAGCGTGCCTGGCTGAGGAACTCTGGGAGTTGAAGTCCACAAGTCATAAAAGGGCCAAGTTTGAAGACCCCTGATCAACACTCTCACCCAGACCCAAAACCACTCTACGAACTTCAGTGGTTATGGCTGAAAATTGACTAGAACCAGAGTATTCCAGTCCTAGTCCAACACCTTCTCCATTGAGCCATTCTAGCTCTTACAATGAAAGGGAGGGACTGCCAAAGTCACCCAGGAAGTTGCTACTGCTGCAGGGGGACTAAAACCAGATTATCTCCCATCTGTATCCAACCTCTTCACCACTATGTCACTTTGGCCAATCTTCTATTTTTAGGTTCTAAACTACAGGAGTCTCCTAAAAGGGCAATCCTCCAGCTAAGGTAGGACAGCCACACCTGTAATTTGGCTCTGGAATTCTGGGAGCTGTAGTCCCAATGCATTTGGAGGGTACCAGGAAGAGGAGACTGCAGTATAGTTTTGTGTGTCCTTTGCCCTCGCTCCATGGTTTTGGAGTCTGGAAGGAGACTGAAGGCTAAAGCATATGAAGAACGGTTGCAGGAATTGGATATGTCTAGTTTAATTAAAAGAAGGACTAGGGGTGACAAGATAGCAGTCTTCCAATATTTGAGGGTCTGCCACAAAAAAAAGAGGGAGTCAAGCTATTCTCCAAAGCACCAGAAGGTAAGAGAAGAAACATCGGAGGGAAACTAATCAAGGAGAGAAGCAACCTATAACTAAGGAGAAATCCCGACAGTTAGAACAATTAGTCAGTGGAACGACTTGCCTCTAGAACAGTGATGGCGAACCTTTTAGAGACCGAGTGCCCAAACTGCAACCCAAAACCCACTTATGCATCATCGAGTGCCGGGTGGGTGTGGCCCATTGGGTGGGCGTGGCTGCAGTGGTAACGGCAGACTGCGTGGGACTAAAAAGTTCAATCAATCAATTTCAACTTTGCAAGATCTTTTTTTTCCCCCCACAAGAAGTTGAAATTGATTGATTGATTGACCCTTTTTTTTTTTTTGCACACGGCGGCAGAGGCCTAAAGCGAAAAGATTTTATAAAACCCAGCTGAAGGCCTAGGACTGGGGCGACGGCCCGTGTGCCCACAGAGAGGGCTCTGAGTGCCGCCTCTGGCACCCGTGGCCATAGGTTCACCACCACTGCTCTAGAAGTTGTGGGTGCTCCAACACTGGAGGTTTTTAAGAAGAGATTGGACAACCATTTGTCTGAAATGCTTGTGGGGTTTGGATTAAAAGACCTTCAAGGTCCCTTCCAACTCTGTTATTCTATTGTTCTATTATTATTCTATTATTCTATTATAAGGAACTTTGAGAGCTACAAAAAGATGAGGTATGGGTGAGCTTAGGATGTCCATGCTTGCCCCCCGAAATTGTACATCTCTGTCATTGCCCCCATTCCTTTCTGTGACGACGTCTTTCAGAAATGCAAAAGGCAGAAGGAAGATAAGGCATCACTTACATGATACGGATGTTTCTCTCCAGGACTTGTTCTTGGGGGTTTTCTTTATCTGGGACAAATTTGGATGTCACCTTTATACACTGGCACTTGTTATCCACCAGAACCGTCTCTTCATCTTCCTCCTGCCAGTAAGCTTAAAACAAATAAAACTAATCAAGTTGGAAACTCATCCAGGAGAGAACCAACCTAGAACTTTCCTGACAGTTAGAAGAATTAGTCAGTGGAACGGCTTGCCTCCAGAAGTTGTGGGTGCTCCAACACGGGAGGTTTTTAAGAAGAGATTGTCTGAAATGGTTGAGCAGGGGATGGACTAGTAGACAACCTCCCAGGTCCTTTCCAACTCTGTTATTCTGTTATTCAAATAAAATGCATCAATAAGACCTTAAGAAATGACCAACGACCTTTAATGCCATTTAATCCAGAGTCTGATTTTATGACGTGTGTCCAACGGCTATGAAAAAAAAAAAAAAAACAAGGCTGGCTGAAAGAGAAGTTGTAGTATTAGTAATATTGAGAAATGCATCTGAAAAAGACCGGAAGCTAAATTTAGGATAGGTGCAAAGGAAACTGAAACCCCAGCCTTTCAAGGTATATTTTCAGACACAAGGCATGATTTTGCAAGCTAATCTTTCGATGACAAATGAATACTTGAAATTAGCTGAGTCACCTCCTTTACGCTTTCTGCAACGCTGGCTGGGTTGGTAAATTTGGCAGTCCCCAAATTAGCCGACCGTGTTGTGCAGATCTGGAGCCAAGTCTGGTGTTCGAACTTTAAGTCCAAATCAAGCTTCCCACATTCTAATTGACCCAAAAGGCAGAATCTGCAGACTTAATTGGAGACATTCTTCTGTTGAGGCTTCTGAATGCAGAATGCTTGCAGTCTCCTAAAAACATTGTGGGTTACCTGTAGTTCTAAAGCTGCATTTGATTTTGGGGGGCTAATTTTATCTTGATGTTGCCCTAATGCCAAACCCCCATTACCTGTAGCTCCTTCCCTGGAACCTGCTGCGACAGAGACAGAGAGAGAGAGAGAGAGAGAAAGAGAGAGAGAGAAAGAGAGAGAGAGAAAGAGAGAGAGAGAAAGAGAGAGAGAGAAAGAGAGAGAGAGAGAGGGAGAGAGAGAGAGAGAGGATCAAAAGAAAATAGAATTTATTAAAAGAATTTCTGCCCCACTCAGACTTTGTGCCTGATTCAGCCCTATTTAATGTGTGCCCCCCAACAGCTTACTTGAGAATGAGGCACAATTGAAAAAAGATGACCTTTCTCTGTTGTTGTCCAGATAGCTCAGTCAAAGGCTGCATTTTCCCCTAATTGACAAATCTTTTTTGTGTATGCATGAAGATGTTTTAGTCCAGGGGTCTTCAAACTCGGCCTTTTCATGACTCGTGGACTTCAACTCCCAGAATTCCTCAGCCAGCATGCCTGGCTGAGGAATTCTGGGAGTTGAAGTCCACGAGTCATGAAAGGGCCGAGTTTGAAGACCCCTGTTTTAGTCTTTTAATTTTTTTCAAGGTCATTAACATCAGTTGGACTCGGAGATACCATGATGGGAAAAGTTTCAACTTGTTGAGTTGACCCCTTACTTAGTCACCAGGATGCAAAAAAGATGCTGAGACTCTAGACCAGGAGTAGGCAACCTTGGCTCTTTTATGACTGGTGGACTTCAACTCCCAGAATTCCTGAGCCAGCATGGCTCAGCTTGGAACCCTCTCCCTTTCCCCTCAGCATGGCTGGCTCAGGAATTCTGGGAGTTGAAGTCCACGAGTCATAAAAGAGCCAAGGTTGCCTATCCCTGGTATAGAAAGAGTGCAGAGAAGAGCAGCAAAGATGATTAGGGGGCTGGAGGCTAAAACATACCACCAGCGGTCGGGGGAGATAGACATGCCTATCAAAGAGGAATAAGGAGGACATGATAGCAATCTTCCAATATTTGCAGGGCTGCCCCAAAGAAGAGGGAGTCAAGCTATTCTCCAAAGCACCTGAAGGCAGGACAAGAAGCAACGGATGGAAACTCATCAAGGAGAGAACCAATCTAGAAATAAGGAAAAAATTCCTGACAGTTAGAACAATTAATCAGTGGGACAGAAGTTTTGGGTGCTCCATCACTGGAGATGTTAAGGTTTTAAGTAGAGATTGGCCAGCTATTTGTCCAGAATAGTATTGCATGGAAAGTGGGCTGGACTAGCGGACCTTCAAAATCCCTTCCAACCCTATTATTCTATGTTCTAGTTTTTAATTTTGAGGGTCCAGGATTCTTTGAAGTAAAAAAGGGGTAGCTCTGTTACAACCCCCCATTTTTCTTTTTCTTCCTTTCACACAAGCTGTGAGGACCCCTAATGTCTACCCATCTGCACATTTGTAGAATTTTTGCACGAAGCAGAAAAAAAAACGCACTTACGATCTCAGGTTTTTATGATTAAAAAAAATAGATAATTCAAAAAAAACCAGAGGGTTTTTTTTTTTGTATTCTTAAAACAAGTGATCATTCTATAGTTGTATTTGTTGCAAAGGAAATCGGAACCTTCTTTTTATCTTTTGATTCTCTCTTTCTACACTTTCGCTTTTCTTTTCTTTTTCTTTATTGTTTCTCCTCTTTGTTAATTTGGGTTTTATTTGTTTTGCAAGCTTTTAATAAAACATTTATTTAAAAAAAAAAATGCAATGTCCATTCATCTGGGTTGCTTTTCCAGTTCCAGCTTCTGTATTTAGTCACCCTTCTTTGCTACTTTTTTGGGGGATCTAAGAAATATTATGAAGGGTGTTTCTTCCAGAAATGAGCTGTAACAGTCAAGTCTGAAAAACACCAGGGAGGGATGGCGAACAAATATTGAAATTCAAATAATTTATTTTATTCCACCATTTTTTACTTTTAACGAATAGCTGTTATTATCCTGATATCACTTTAAAGCAGGATAAAATAAGCATTTTATTCAAGTATTTCTTACTTTTAACGAATAACCTTTATTGTGCTCTGTGGATAATGCAAAGTAAAGTTTCACAACTGAAATTATAAACTCTTATTATAGAAAGTTTCTACAAAGAAGAGACTAGACATTCACCTGTCTGAAACGGTATGGGTTCTCCTGCTTGAGCCAGGGGGCTGGACAAGAAGACCTCCAAGGTCCCTTCTATTCTATTCTATTCTATTCTATTCTATTCTATTCTATTCTATTGCATTGCATTGCATTGCATTACATTCTTATTCTATTCTATTCTATTCTATATTCTATTCCATTCCATTCTACTCTATATTCTGTTCCACTCTGCTGTATTCTATTTTCTATTCTATTCTATTGCATTGCATTGCATTGCATTACATTCTTATTCTTTCCTATTCTTTCCTATTCTTTCCTATTCTTTCCTATTCTATTCTATTCTATTCTATTCTATTCTATTCTATTCTATTCTATATTCTATTCTATTCTATTCTATTCTATTCTATTCTATTCTGCATTCTGTTCTGTTCTGTTCTATTGCATTGCATTGCATTACATTCTTATTCTTTCCTATTCTTTCCTATTCTATTCTATTCTATTCTATTCTATTCTATTCTATTCTATTCTATTCTATTCTGTTCTGTTCTATTGCATTGCATTGCATTACATTCTTATTCTATTCTATTCTATTCTATTCTATTCTATTCTATTCTATTCTATTCTATTCTATATTCCATTCCATTCCATTCTCCTCTATGTTCTGTTCCACTCTGCTCTATTCTATATTCTATTCTATTCTATTCTATTCTATTCTATTCTATTCTATTCTATTGCATTACATTCTTATTCTTTCCTATTCTTTCCTATTCTTTCCTATTCTATTCTATTCTATTCTATATTCTATTCCATTCCATTCCACTCTACTCTATATTCTGTTCCACTCTGCTCTATTCTATTCTATTCTATTCTATTCTATTCTATTCTATTCTATTCTATTCTATTCTAAGCAATTTTATATCTATCTATCTACATCTATATCTATACCTATATCTCAACACTCAACACTCTCTATATGATAAAATAGTAGAAAAAAGATACACACTCTTACTTTTACTAAATTACTGTTAAAAAAATCTCCTATAAACCACAAGAGATGAATGTATCAGATAGAGCAATGGCTGTTTGTGGGTGTGTGCACGCATACATGCACACACATCTCTGCCTTATTTTAAACCATCTACGGTAGAGCAAAATATATTAAGCCTCTCATACCAGGATTATTTATTTTTTAAAAAAAGTTTCCTAGGAGAATTATTAAGGGATGGACGTGCCAGTTGAAACAATGGGCAATTCCCCCCCCCTTCCGGCTGCATGAACAATTCTGCAAGGATTTCTCTTGATAAATTTCACTTACCGTTCACAAGAACCGTGCTGCAAAAAAGGATCCCAATTCCATAGACCAGCCAAGAAGTTTTCATCTTTAAGTCTCGTGTTCAGCTGCTCTCTGCAGTGTGTTCCTCAGCTAGCAAGGTTTGTGTGGAAGTGTTGTACACCAGTTGTTTTTTTTTTCCTGAAAGACCAAGGCTAATTACAGGCAAGCAGCACTGAAGGCTGTGACCACTCATTGTGAAACCACAAGCTTTTGTCGGTATACTAATCAGAGAGGAAAACTCCCCGTTCTTTGAAAGCTTGGCTAGACGGTAGCGTTTTTCTCTTCCCTGCTTTATTAAGTTTTTTATTTGTATCAATAGTAATTTCTGGATCGAGAGATGCATAGGTAGCATAAATGGAAAAATAAGCAACATACAATGCACGAGATTACAAAATGTGCTTTGAGCAAGTTGTGATGTTTTGGGACAGTGTTGCTCAAAGGGTGACAACTTTTAAGATGTGTGGACTTCAACTCCCAGAATCCCCCAGCCAGCATACGCTGGCTGGGGAATTCTGGGAGTTGAAGTCCACACATCTTAAAAGTTGCCAAGTTTGAAAAACAAGAGTGCTTTGGAACTCTTGATTAACAAATTAATCTTGTCTAGTACTGCAATGCAACTGGGAATTTAATCTTTTCTGGAATAGATACTACTCATGAGAAGCCATTGGGGCATAAATAGAATAGTGTGTGGCATAGAATTAGCTTTAGATAGTTTTCAGCTAATGGAAAAAGACACTGATTTCCAGTGGGATAGTTAATAATGCCTGTTATAGTTATAGATAGTTCCATTAGTCTTTTACAGCAGAAACCACAAACTTCATAGTGATAAACTATTATCATGTGAAGGTTTTCTAAACCACTGTCCATGGAATGGAATGGAATGGAATGGAATGGATTGGAATAGAATAGAATAGAATAGAATAGAGCTGGAAGGGACCTTAGAGGTCTTCTAGTCCAGCCCCCTGCTCAAGTAGGAGAACCTATACCAATGATGGCAAACCTTTTAGAGACCGAGTGCCCAAACTGCAACCCAAAACCCACTTATTTATCGCCGGGTGCCAGGTGGGCATGGCCCACTGGATGGGCGTGGCTGTGGCCATGGCAGACTGGGTGGGTGTGGTCACCTCGATGTTGCTCATGGGGAGGGATGCCTATGGGGGCCGGGCAGGGTCGGGGGAGATCCAGGGGGTCTCTGGCAGGTGGGCGGTGGGCAGGAGGCTCATCCTGAGGGGCAAGGCGAGGCAGGGCGGGGGTGCCATTGTCGCAGGGCAAGGCGAGGCAGGGGCCGGGGTGGCTGTTGCATGACACCATCGGGCCCCGCACACAGAGGCCAGCGAGTGCATGGGGGCCAACAGTGTCCCTCAGCAGTCACAGCCTGCTGGCCCGTCGACCGGCGCACTCTGGGGCTCCGTAGCCCGCCCCCAGCAGTTCAGAGAAGCCGCCTCTGAGCTGGACAGCCGGCCGACAGCTGAGGAGGCGAAGCAGTGGGTTGTGCCCGGGAAAACGAGAGCATGTGAGGCCAGGAGGGATGGGACTGGGGGGGGGGGAGGAAAACCAGCCATGCTGGGATGCATCCGGCCACGTGGGACCTCGGCGAGTTAGCAGGCGGCTGGTTGAAGAGGGACAGTTGCCATCTCCAGGGCATGGTGTGCGTGCCCACAGAGAGGGCTTTGAGTTCCGCCTCTGGCACGCTTGCCATAGGTTCCGCCACCACTGACCTATACCATCTCAGACAGGTGATTTTCCAGTCTCTTCTTAAAAACTTCCAATGATGGAGCACTCATAACTTCTGGAGGCAGGTTGTTCCACTGATTAATTGTTCTAACTGTCAGGAAATTTCTTATTAATTCTAGATTGTTTCTCTCCTTGATTCCTTGACTTGTAGAAGGGATGACATGGTAGCAGTCTTCCAATACTTGAGGGGCTGCCACAAAGAAGAGGGGGGTCAACCGATTCTCCAAAGCACCTGAAGGCAGGGCAAGAAACAATGGATGGAAATTAATGAAGGAGAGAAGCAACCTGGAATTAAGGAGAAATTTCCTGACAGCGAGAACAATTAATCAGTGGAACGACTTGCCTCCAGAAATTGTGGGTCCTCCATCACTGGAGTCTTTTAAGAAGAGACTGGACAGTCATTTGTCCAGAATGGCATAGGGCTGGGGTCTTCAAACTTAGCCCTTTTATGACTTGTGGACTTCAACTCCCAGAATTCCTCAGCCAGGCATGCTGGCTGAGGCATTCTGGGAGTTGAAGTCCACAAGTAGTAAAAGGGCCAAGTTTGAAGACCCTTGGCATAGGGTCTCCTGCTTGAACAGGGGATTGGACCAGAAGACTTCCAACGTCCCTTCCAACTTTGTTATTCTGTTAAAGTATACACACCAAACATATGTGTGTGTGCATATGTGTAGAGGAAGAGACAGGAAAGAGAAAAATGGTGGGGAAAAAAGATGGCAGTTACGTGGGAACTGTGACCACAAAGGTTGATATGACACGGATATTCTTGCATTGACTAGTAAAGTCACACAAATCCTGTGATAAGGATTTGTTTTTTTTAAAAAAAAACCCCAAGCAATGGTTTTATTTTAAACAGAATAAAATGTCACTGACGATAACAGACAGTAATTTATACCTAGATATCCACTTGCTTTTTTCAGTCCAGCTTTTGGGTTCTGCCTTTAACTGCCTTCAAGCACACGTTAAAAAAGCACCCACCTTCTGACCACAGTTTGATTTCTAAAGTATAAAGTTTCAGTTCCATTGTTGGTTCGGTTACAAAAACAAAAGAAGGGTTATTTTGCGGATGATCCCCCCTAACTGAATTTTCAAACCAAGACTTAGAACTAATATATTATTAGCATCAGGTAGGAGGGCTTTGTCTTTTTCAGAAAATGCCAGAGTACACAAGTACTTCAGCTACCCACACCTAACCACAACTGGATCCAACATCCTTTAGAGGACAAAACAAGTCTTAAACGACAGAAAGAGGGGATTGTTATATTTCCATTAGGTTAAAAGCAGCCAAGGGGCAGAGAGATTGTGACGTGGACAGACGCTGCAGATCTCAGGGAAATGGGAGAATAGAATCGAGTAAAGTAGAATAGAAGAATAGGAAAGAATAAGAATTGAATTGAATTGAATAGAATAGAATAGAATAGAATATAGGAAAGAATAAGAATAATAGAATAAGAACAGAATGAATAGAATAGAATAAGAATGAATAGAATAGAATAGAAGAATAGGAAAGAATAAGAATAGAATAGAATAGAATAGAATAGAATAGAATAGAACAGAACAGAATAGAATAGAATAGAGGAAAGAATAAGAATAAGAATAGAATAAGAACAGAATGAATAGAATAGAATAAGAATGAATAGAATAGAATAGAAGAATAGGAAAGAATAAGAATAGAATAGAATAGAATAGAATAGAATATAGGAAAGAATAAGAATAAGAATAGAATAAGAACAGAATGAATAGAATAGAATAAGAATGAATAGAATAGAATAAAAACAGAATGAATAGAATAGAATAAGAACAGAATGAATAGAATAAGAACATTGTCACTTTAAATGTACACTAATCAGCATACATTAAAATGAGATTTCGTTGCATACAGCTCTCAAAGGGTAACTGTCTCCAATATACACTGCATAAACATGACAAAAGAGTATGCATATACCCACATACACATATTCTATTCTATTCTTTCATTATTTCCTATTCTAATTCTTATTTCCTATTCTATTCTATTCCTATTCTATTCCATTCTAATTCTTTCCTATTCTCTATTCTATTCTATTCTATTCATATTTTTCTATTCTATTCTATTCATTCTTATTCTATTCTATTCATTCTGTTCTTATTCTATTCTTATTCTTTCCTCTATTCTATTCTATTCTATTCTATTCTATTCTATTCTATTCTATTCTATTCTATTCTATTCTATTCTATTCTTTCCTATATTCTATTCTATTCTATTCTATTCTATTCTATTTCTTGTTTGTGTGTAATACAGGTCTTCTGCTAGTTACAAACCGCTCCTGGGTTCACTTCAGGCTAATCTGCTTCTAGCAGCTTCTTATTGAAGGAACCCATGTTGGAAAACTATGTTACTTGCATCTTTAAAACAAAGACTCTACTCACCATTCGTTCAGTGATCAAAATTACCATGACACTGAAAAAAGTGACTTATGACTGGTTTCCACACTTAACGACCATTGAAGTAGCATTTCCATGGTCACGTGATCAAAATTCAGGTGCTTGGCAACTGACTTGTATTTATGATGGTTGCACCGTCCCACCATTTGATCACCATTTGTAATCTTCCCAGCTGACTTCCAACAAAGAAAGCAAATGGGAGAATCCAGATTTGCTTAAGGACTGCATAATTCATTTACAACTGCTGTGATTTGCTTAATGACTGAGCCAAAAAAGGTTGTAAAATGGAGCAAAACTCACTGAACAACTGCCTGGCTTAACAATGGAAATGTTGGGGGCTCAGTTGTGGTCATAAGTCAAGGACTACCTGCAAGGCTGGGACTCTACTACTCTGACTCCTAGCTACAAGAAAGTTATGTAGTGATTGACTTGTCACTTTATACAGCTTTTCTCTGACCAGTTTTCCAACTCTCCTCATTTTATTTTGCCTGGAGGGCACTCAGCTCAATTCAAATGAGTTAAAAGGTGATGAAAACAGTTAAAATGAAAAGTCTGAATAAATAGGAAAGTCCCCATACACACACACACACAGAGACAGACACACACACACACACACCTTATGTTGATTTTTGCCTATGTTAATTTCAAGTAAAACTCATGAAGTGGCAAGAAGCTACTTGATTTTGGCTAATCTTGAAAAATAAGTGGGATTGTCTTCGATTATCATTTGGATGGAAGCTATGAACTAGATTGGAAAGTAAAAAATACAAGAAATACAAGAATACAAGAAAACAATTGCAAACTATTTGTGTATCAAACAGAATAAAAGAATAACAGAGTTGGAAGGGACCTTGGGAGGTCTTCTAGTCCAACCCCTCTGCTTAGGCAGGAAACCCTATACCAGGGGTAGGCAACCTTGGCTCTTTTATGACTCGTGGACTTCAGCTCCCAGAATTCCTCAGCCTGCCATGCTGGCTCAGGAATTCTGGGAGTTGAAGTCCACGAGTCATAAAAGAGCCAAGGTTGCCTATCCCTGCCCTATACCATTTCAGACAAATGGCTGTCCAGTCTCTTCTTAAAAACTTCCAGTGTTGGAGCATTCACCGCTTCTGGAGGCAGGTTGTTCCACTGATTAGTTGTTCTAACTGTCAAGGAAACTATATAGCAGGGGTCTTCAAACGTGGCTCTTTTATGACTTGTGGACTTCAACTCCCAGAATTCCTCAGCCAGCGTGCCTGGCTGAGGAATTCTGGGAGTTGGAGTCCACAAGTCATAAAAGAGCCCAGTTTGAAGACCCTTGCCCTATGCCATTCTGGACAAATGACTTGTCCAGTCTCTTTTTAAAAGCCTCCAATGATGGAGGACCTACAACTTCTGGAGGCAAGTCATTCCACTGGTTAATTGTTCTCGATGTCAGGAAATTTCTCCTTAATTCCAGGTTGCTTCTCTCCTTGATTAGTTTCCATCCATTGCTTCTTGCCCTGCCTTCAAGTTTGAAGACCCCTGATGTATAGAAATCTCCATGTGAATAATCAATAATTGACTTCAACTTAAGGCTACTTTACTTTTAAAGTATAGTCAGATAATTCAGGGTCAAAAGTAATGCTATGGCCACACCATTTTTTTTCTCCTCTATGCTTCCGTACAACCACAATAAACTGCCACGTTGGAATACTTTACACAGTGCCTCTTCTCAATCAACGAAGGGCGGGAAGTCGAGAAAGGGACACCGACAGAAGAACAATGAGATTTACTTTAAGACTTGTGGTGGAAAAAGAATGCATCTGATACCCACAAAGTGATATATTAGGCCCAGCCCTGGAACCATTGTATGCAAACAGCCCAGGTGGCAGTTTATTTTTAAGAAAACCACAAAACAGGTGCAGCTGCTATGATTGAGGAGGAATAAAATAAACAGATTTAATAATTAGGACGAGGACACAACGTTGTTTAAAGTCTCAGAAGAAAGCTATCATTTCCACATTAGACTTTTCAATCTTCTTTGAGCTATTACAGGTGGTTCTCGGCTTACCACTGTTTGTTTAGTGACCATTCAAAGTTACAACGGCACTGAAAAAAAGTGACATGTGGCCGTTTTTCCGTTATGACCGTAGTAGCATCCCCATGGTCACATGACTAAAATTTGAGTGCTTGGTAACTGGCATTTATTTATGACTGTCCTGGGGTCACCGTTGGTAATCTTCCCAGCCAGATCCCTACAAGCCAAGTCGATAGGGGAAGTCAAATTTGTTTAATAGCCACAGGATTCAGTTAACAACTGCAGTAAGTTGCTTAACAATTGTGGCGAAAAAAGGTCATAAAATGAGGCGCAGGTCACTTAATAACTGCCTCACTTAGCAGTTGGGCTCAGTTGTGGTCCTAAGTCAGAGGTAGGCAACCTTGGCTCTTTTATGACTTGTGGACTTCAACTCCCAGAATTCCTGAGCCAGCCAGCCTACCCCCGTCCTAAGTCAAGGTATTATTGCTGGTATTATAAAGAGGAAAGGGGAACAGGAGTTACCTAGACTTGTGGATTGGCTTGGAATCACCACCCTGTAACTATAACTCTTTCCTAATTCTGGTAAAGATGAAGGTGCCCTCTACCCAAATTCAACTCTTCCCTACATAGGCACAATCAGAGACATCGTGGTCACGAGTGGTCTCAAAACTTCAAGACGGCATTCATGACCCCATTGTTTTAATCACACGATTGTGACTGCCATCTTCTCTTTTTGCATCCCTCCCCCCAGCAGATCACATTGGATGCAGTTTCCTTGGCAACAAGATGGGTGTTTGACTTCCCAGTTTAGTCTCCATTCTTGGTCTTCCTTGGCTATCTTCACATGCCACCTTGAGTTACTTATGCAGGTGGAAGTAAAATCTAATAAGAAGTGAATAAAAACACTAGCCAGGTTAACCTTGCATCACTTCCAGAAAGACCAGCCCCAGTTCCCCGTTGAGATTTATTTAGTGACAGTAAAATTAAGTACATATCCCTTTGCCTGGCTGTTATTACTAGTTTGCAAATCTAAGAAACCACAAAAAGCACATTGTTATCATACAGTATAAAAATGGACAGTAGAGTTCAGATAGGTGGTAGATAATGATAGATTATAGTTATACATGACAGACAGATAGATGACAGAGACTGATAGATAAATCTATATAGATGATAGATTAGATAAATAAATCTATATAGATAATAGAAAGATAGGTAGGTAGATAGGCAGATAGATGCTTGATAAGCAGATAAACAGGTAGGTAGATAGATCTATAGACATAGATGACAGATAGATCTATATAGATGACAGATAGATAGATAGATAGTTAGACAGACAGACAGACAGGACAGAGACTGATAGGTAGATGGTAGATAATGATAGATAAATCTATATAGATGATAAATTAGATAAATAAATCTATATAGATGATAGATAATAGAAAGGTAGGTAGGTGGATAGATTGATGATTGATAGGCAGATAATGTAGATTAGATAGATGGGTAGATAGATAAATCTACATGATAGATTAGATAAATAAATCTATATAGATGATAGCTAGCTAGCTAGGCAGATGATAGCTGATTGATAGGCAGATAGATCTATATACATAGATTAGATAGATAGATAGATAGATAGATAGATAGATAGATAGATAGATAGATAGTGGGAGGACAGACAGATGGATGACATTGATAATAGGTAGATGGTAGATAATGATTAATAGATGATAGATATAGTAAAAGAAGAAAGAGAAATTTGAATGGAGAATAAAAGCGGGGCTGACATCATTAACACAGAATTAGTGGGCATGCAAAGACAGATTTCCCCCCCCAAAAAGCAATATACTCCTTATGAAAACCAGGGAGGGGGTTCCAAAGGGTTAGGAATGGCGGCGGGCAAAAGACTCCAAAGACGCCAGGCCGACGCAACGCGCTTTGAAACCAGCGCCACTCTCTATGCGCCTTTTGCAAACAGAGCGCCGCAAACTCTCCAGAACCGGAAGCTCGGCCGCCGGAAGTCAAACCATTGGGCGAAAGCGAAGATTTGCGAATGGAACAGAGTCGACGAATCCACAAAGGTCATCCCTTCCTTCCTTCCTTTCCGGGAAACCGGAAGTAGCGTCCGACTTGGCCTGAACCTCGACCCGGAAGTCATATCTTACCCTTCCGGCCAGAGCGTGCGTCCGTTTAGTTTCCCCCGGTTTTTTTTTTTTTTGTCTTCCTTCGGTTCGGCAGCCATCATGGGGAAGGCACGCCGGAGAATCCCGCCGGCTTTGCGGGCCTCGGCCGAGCGCGAAGAGAAGATGGAGGAGCCGGAGCCGGGGGAGCCGCGGGTGACGGAGGAGGCGGACGACTTCCACGAGCGGCGGATGGAGGAGGCGGTGCTGGCGGCGCTGGGCAGCGAGGAGGAGGAGGAGGGCGAGGAGGAGGAGGAAGAAGAGGTGCTGGTCCTGCACCTGTCCGAGAACAGCGAGTCTGAGGAAGATGATGGGGAAGGGCCGGCCGAGGACGCGGGGCCGGGTGAGGATGATGATGATGAGGAGGAGGACGATGAGCCTCTGGACATGGACAGCGACCTGGAAGAGCAGCGGGGCGAAGGCAAATGGGGCTCAGGCCTCCCCAATGAGCTGGCTTGGGGTCAGAGGAAGAAGCTCTACTACGGCACGGACTACGAGGGGGCAGGGCGTCGCCCCAAAGCCCCCAAGAAGAGCAAGGAAGAGGTGGAAGCAGAGGAGCTGGAGGAAGAGGCCGAGGCTCAGGCCATCCAGAAGAGGATGGCAGAGAACTTGGGCGAGGAGGACTATGGCTTGGATCTCCTGCAGGCTTACGCCAGGACAGCTGAGCCACCAAGCGGGAAAGAATCTGGGCAGAAAATCGCCAAGGATTTGGCCTCCCTTTCTAAAAAAGAGCAGCTGAAATTGCTGAGAAAGGAATCTCCGGAACTGCTGGAGCTGATTCAGGACTTTGAAGCCAAAGTCGTCGAGCTCAGAGATGAACTGGAGCCCCTCGTGCAAATGATCGGGGACGGGGTCATCCCAGAGGGGAAAGGGAGCCAGTATTTGCAAACCAAGTACCACCTCTATCTGAACTACTGTTGTAACATCAGTTTTTACTTGGTGCTGAAAGCGAAGAGAATTCCAGTCCATGGCCATCCAGTCATCGAAAGGCTTGTGACTTACAGAAACCTGATCAATGACTTGGCAGTTGTGGACCAAAAACTGTTGCCAGAGGTTCGCCTGCTTCTGAATGAATTCCATAATAACGAGAGCGGTGGGGTGGCAAGTGGGAAGAAGCCCCTGCCGTTTGTTAGAAAAACAGCTAATAAAAGGAAAACAAAATCGCCAAAGTTTACTGAGGGTGAGGCCGAAGACGAACTCACGGATGATTCAGAGTTTGATGAGCAAGCTGCCCTGGATTTTTATAAGGAGATGGAAGAGAAGATCATGCTTAAGAAGAAGAGGAAACGAGAAGCAAAAGAAGACGCAAGTCACCTGGTTGTTGAAGAGGAGGAATCAGACCAAAAGAGAGGAGCAACGTACCAGATGTTGAAAAATAAAGGCCTCACACCTAGAAGAAAGAAGATTGATCGTAATCCAAGAGTAAAACATCGTGAGAAGTTCAGAAGAGCCAAGATCCGTAGAAAGGGACAAGTCCGTGAATTCCGTAGAGAAATACAGAAATATGCAGGCGAATTGTCTGGCATTCGTGCTGGAGTTAAGAAAAGTATTAAACTTAAGTGATCCATTCTCTTCCTTTTTTCACCTCTTCCTCTTTATTTGCAGACTAAAGATAGCGGACGTGAATTTAATAAATATATGTTTTGGGGAAATTATAACGTGTATTATTTTTAATAATGGCTCTCACTTCCAGAGTTGTACCCATTACAGAGTTTTGACTTAATATATATATATACAGGTAGTCTTCAACTTACCTCTCGTTTACTGACCATTTGAAGTTACTGCAGCACTGGAAAACGTTGCCAAGAATCTGAATTTTGGTTATGTGTGATCATGGGGATGCTGCAACAGTTGTATGAAAACGTACGGCCATTGCAGCATTCCCATGATCACGTGATCAAAATTCAGACACTTGGCAACCGCCTCATATTTATGACAATTGCAGTGTCCTGGGGTCACATGATTTACCTTTTGTGACCTTACAGGCAAAGTCATTGGGGAGGGCACATACACTTAATAACTGTGTTACTTAGCAATTGTGGCAAGAAAGATCATAAAATGGGTCAAAATTCACTACAACTCCCTTGCTTAGCAATAGAGATTTGGGGCTCAATTGTAGTCGTAAGTCGAGGACTATCTGTACTAGCTGAGGCACCTCCTTTTCTTCTTCAAAATGGTAGTTCATTTGTTCCTTCCCGCTTCACCTGAGCATTGACATTATTTCTGAATAAAATGTGACAGGATATAGTGGAGAAAGGAGACAGAACACCATATAACTTAGGAGTATGTGGGTAGATGTTGTCTGCTTGGTTTACCATTAGATACAACCACGGGTCTTGTCAATTCAGGACAACTTTCCAAGTTGTTTCATGCTATTGTAACCTTCCATAAAAGTCAAGTCTTTGTTGAATAAAGCTTTACTGTTGGTTACTAGTGGGACATATCCATATATTTTTCTTGGCCACAGTACAAAAAGAGTTTGCTGATGCCTTCTGTGGGAATTCATAACTATTTTTCAGTCTAATTTCAGCTTTGATATTGGCTGGTAGTTTCCTAATCCAAGTACTAGTCAAGTCTGCCTCTGCTTAGATTTTAACCTAGCAAATTTAGCCAGATGCTGCCACCTACTGAGACAACTGTACTCGTCTGTTACATCACATCTAGTCTTCCCCAAGTCATTTTCAGATGTTTTAGAGTAGACCAACTCCCCAAACCTTCCAGCCAGAATCTGAAGGGTATCAAATCAAACCTTTATTACGGGCATAAACCAGCATAATAGAAAATGACAATTTGAGGAAGATTGGTTTGGTTTAGTAGTTATTTTTAGATTATGTTAGTTAAAGGGTACCTGTCAGTTAGTTCCATTTGCCACATAATACCGATACTAAACATTACAGAAGGATCTGTAAAGCAGTGGTTGATAGTTTTGTGGGTTCTTATTAGTTTAAACTAAACTGTTCAACGTTTTGCCCATAATTTATCAAAAAATTAAAAAGGTCCCAGAAATTCTTACAAATTCAGAGTTAAGTTCTGCAAAATGGTACATTGCTTTCTCACATTTTGCAAGGAATTTGGTAATCTTCTAATCCAATTCTATTTTGTGCAGTTACAGTCTTGCTAATAGCTGTCCAGATTTTGTTTAAAACCCCTCCTGCAAGCTAGAATCTATCATCTCTCATCTGTTCCAATTTTTGAAACTATTTTTTTCTTCTTGGTGCTATTTAATTCATGGAATTAAGAGCATATCGGACATTGGAATGTGTCCTACCACACATGGGAAAAATCAACATTTGCCAATTGTTAGATAACAATTGGACAGAGGTTGGGAAAAATAAAATTTATAATGAGTTATTTACAGGAAAGATCCAGCTGATTTAAAAAAAATGAGCCAATAATATGTAACGGAGAAAGGCAATTACACAGGCTTAAGGACATTGATTTATCTGATATTAGGGAAAAACTTTTGATTTTGTCCAAAATTTCAGAAAAACAAGCTTTTTTGGGGGGAGTAGAGTGGCATAGAACTTCTAGTAGTAATTGAAAAGTGAATTCAAGTGCAATAGAATGCAAATTCATTACTTTTTGTAATCACGTTCATGGAAGTGTAATTATCGATTCTGACCTGCGAATACAATCCATGTTTTGCCACCCATTAGCTGACTACTGTGAATCTATACACATTTACTATGCACCGAGTTTAACATTAATTAAATCCATGGGGTAATATTGTTTGTGCAGAATTAAGTATTTCAGAGTTGTTAAAAGCTAAGTAAACAGTACTGAATACCTGCACAAGATTATTTGGGAAGATGGCAGTATGTCAATCCTGTTTGAGAAAGGCTGCATAAACTATCGTAATCATGTAATTAATTTTCCTGTCTGGGTTCATTATTTTTCATATTTATATTTTTATTGCTTTTATACTATTGTTAATTTATTTGTTGCCTCTCCTGCCATGGGGCTGTGGCTGCCCATCTTGCAAAGTGAACAGGTGATGTACAACAATGAAGCCATAAATACAGAAAAATAGTAATTAAAAATTAGGCATGGCTTCTGGAAATTTTGATAAAATCTGTTGGATGGAAAAGGCTGCTTCTGAGCTGAAATTCTTTTAAGATACTGCAATTAACGTTTCTTTTTAAAATGCGCAACCTGTGGCAGCATAGGCAAACTGAATAACACCACAATGCTGTTAATTGCTATCCTGATATATTAAAAAAGCACACCCTACAATCTGAAAAAACCCTATCACCCATAGAAACCATAGGGCGAAGAGGGAAAAAAAAACAAATGGAAAATTAACTGGAATGACCCCAAAAACCTAAATAAGAATTGCAGCAAAGAGGGAGAAAGAAATCTTAAGGCAGGGGTAGGCAACCTTGGCTTTTTTTATGACTTGTGGACTTCAACTCCCAGAATTCCTGAGCCAGCCAGCAGGAATTGTGGGAGTTGAAGTCCACAAGTCATAAAAGAGCCAAAATTGCCTACCCCTGCTCTAAGGAAATGAGGACAAAATGGCAAAATATCACCTCTGAAAAACCTTATCTATGCACACAAACTACAGAGCGAAGAGGAAAATAATTTTAAAAGGAACATTAATCCCAACCCAAATAAGAATTGTAGGAAAGAGGAGAAAGAAATCCTTCAAGGAAATGAAAAAAAAAATTAATGGCGAAATGCCACCACCACTTTCTGAGAAAAACCCTATTACCTGCCTCCAGAAGCGGTGAATGCTCCAACACTGGAAGTTTTTAAGAAGAGACTGGACAGCCATTTGTCCGAAATGGTATAGGGTTTCCTGCCTGAGCAGGGGGTTGGACTAGATGACCTTCAAGGTACCTTCCAACTTTACTATTATTATTATTATTATTATTATTATTATTATTATTATACCTATTTCTCCATGCATTTCTAGGGCGACGAGGGGAAAAAAATTAAAATGGAAAATTAACCAAAACTACCCCAAAACCCAAAGAAGAATTACAGGTAGTCCTTGACTGACAACCACAACTGAGGCCCAGAATTTATGTTGCTGAGAGAGAAACTTGTTGAGTGAGTTTTGTCCCATTTTACGACTTTTCTTGCACCATTTGTTAAGTGAATCACTGCAATTGTTAAATTAGCAACACGGTTGTTAAACGAGCTTGGCTTCCCCATGGATTTTGCTTGTCACAAGTTTGCAAAAGGGGATCCCATGATCCCAGGACACCGCAACCGTCATAAATACCAGTCAGTTGCCATCTGTCTGAATTTTGATCACACGACCGTGGGGATGCTGCAACGGCCATTAAGTATGAAAAACGGTCACAAGTTACTTTCTTTCAGCGCCACTGTAACTTAGAACGGACCCTAAACCAGTGTTTCTCAACCTTGACAATTTTAAGGCATGTGGACTTCAACTCCCAGAATTCCACAGCCAGCAATGCTGGCTGTGGAATTCTGGGAGTTGAAGTCCACATGCCTTAAAATTGTCAAGGTTGAGAAACACTGCACTAAACGAACTGTTGTAAGTCGAGGACGATCTGTATGGCAAAGAAAAAGACATCTCCCAAGAAATCAGAAAGAAAATTGGGGGGGGAAAACAACAACCCACTAGCACCTGCCAAAAAAATGAAAACTAATGGGAGGGGGAAAGAAACACCTTCGCCACCCGAGAAGATTCCTCCCGGGGATCTACCCAGATCCTGCCCCGGGAGCCGCGCCGTGCGCTTCGGGGAGGAGCCGGGGCGCGCGCCGAGGAGGCCGGCCGAAGCCGGGGCCGGCGGGGCGGAGCTCGGCGAGGGGCCGGGTCAAGGCACGGTTCTCCCGGCTGGCTGGCTGGGCCCGAGCTGGGCTGATCCGCAGGAAGGCGGCGGGAGCAGCGGCGGCGCAAAGTGGCCCGCTTGCTTTGGGGACCTTGCCGTGCGCGCTTGGAGAGGCCGAGGAGCCCCGCGCTTGGCCGGCATGGAGAGCCCCGACGGCCGCCGCCGCCGCAGCAGCTCCCGGCGCCGAGAGGCCGGCGGGGAAGCCGACGGGGAGGAGGAGGAGGAGGAGGCGCCGCCGCCGGACTCGCCCCCTTTTTTCCTCCTCTACCCGGGCCGGGGAGGAGGCGCCGCCACCGCCACCGCCGCGCCCGGCGCGCAGCCCCAGAGCGCTTGGCGCGCGGCGCCGCCGGGCCCTCGTGGCGCCCCGTTGCCGGTCCTGCTCAGCTACATCGGGCCGGAGCCCGCCCAGCCGCGAACCGGCAGCGCTCGTGAGTAGCAGCTCGCCCCCCGCCCCGGCTTCCCCAACTTGGGGTCTTCCCCATGGGTGGGATCTGGGCTCCCATGATCCCCAGTCGGGGTTGGGTGGGTGGGTGGATAATCTGTGCTGTCAAGAGGGTTGGGGAGCTGGACTCCACAGTCCGCCGATGCCTCTTTCTCGTTGGCACACCCTGCTTTCTGCACAACCACAAATCCTTCAAGGGAACAATTCCTTCCTTCCTTCCTCCCCCGTGTGTGTGTTCCCTTTTGTGGGGGTCTTCTCCAAAGCCTGAGTGTGAATGGCTACCTTCATTCCTCACCCACCCTCCCCTTCCAGTCCTTCAAGCCACTTGTCACCTGCTTTGCAGTGTTGAATAAATAAAACCTGAGGTTTTATTTATTCAACCGATGGGTTA